GCAAACTTACCTACTTTTCTTAATTTGTTTTTATATAAAACTAATGATATTAGAAGTCACTGACAGCTTTCTGTTCGAAATTTATGCAAATTGGAAAATTTCACTCTTCCTTGACCACTCAAATCGAATTAATATAATTTCGGGAAAATGTGGTTTGAGGAAGAGAAATTGAGCTGGGAATAAAATACCAATAAAAATTAAAACAAAATTAGCAAATAAGTTAAAGAAATAAAAATTGAAAACCGTCTGCCAGTTGAAACCATTCAGCATATGAGTCGTAATAAAACTAGAAAAGTAATTGCTGTGTATTAGAGAAAGTTTTTACCGCAGCGAAAAGACATTAAACATTTGATAAATGTGGAAAAGTTCGAACTTCTTTTGGCCTATGTCCTGCGCTGTCCAGCACAGGCGATATGTCAATGCTCCGCTGAGCGCGGAAATGTCACGGCCAGTGCGCGTATTTCATTCAAAATAATATTCAATGTCGACACATTTTTAATTTGCTGCGGCGATTGCGACGGTGTCGGCTGCTGTGCGCCATAAAACTGTTAATTGAATATGCATAATAAAAATGTCAATCAACATGGAACTGACCGACTGGCTGTCAGCTGCGAATGAGTCGAGAGTCACAAGCAAGCATACATGCCCATGAGTCCTTGCATGCGAGACAAAGATGCCAGAATGGCACAGTGCATGGCTGGTCAACAAATGGTTGAAAAAGATCAAAATAATTGGACATAAACATTGCATTTAAATTGAATTACATTTCGTTTTCTATTTTGTGCAACTGCTCGTCTGGCCTGGAAGTGCGCAAATACTAAACCCTAACAACACCGAAGACCAAAGGAGCACGACAGGCGGACGGACACGGCATAGTTTTGGAGAAGAAAGTGGCAAATGCATTTGCTGGATATTAGGATATTGGTTTTGTGCTAGCGTTAAGCAGATTGTGCATTTCATTTTCATTTCCCTCAAAGTGCACATATGGCAAAAATCCTACCAAGCATACATACATACAACATACCTATATTGTCATTTAAATATGTGTACCGACGTACATGCACATGTAATATATGCTTATAAAACCCTATTGTACTGCTTCTTTTAAGACCATGTATTTTCTCAGCTGTCCTTTTGGGCTCACAAATCAAAGATTTGTGCAAATTACTTGCAATACTCCTTTGCATATACTCTTAAGATCCACATGCATACTTTTTACTTGGGGAATCAGTACCTACCCCTTCCAAACGATGTTATAGATGATATATGAGAAACCTGTTCGTACTTACGAAAATATATGAACACTGCGATTAAATCGTTCATATATTTATAGGTCCATGTTGCCGAGACTTATATAGTCATAGATCCGATTGTATTTTAAATTGTGTAATTTTCCACACTGATTCTGTGTTTAACTGCGACACTAAGATCGGGTCATATCATTCCATTTAATACAAGTACTGAAAGTGTATGGATGGGTTTTCGTACCGAACAAGCTAATATTAGAGAAATTTGCGAGGGAACAGGTTCATCAGTGAAAGCGAAAAAAGGCGGAATATTTTTATCTCTATATCAAAGAACTTTCTGTTAACAGTCATAAATCCAAATTTTTACACAAAGCTCAATGCCTCATTGCTTCTATTTTATGATTTAAAAATAATGTTAAGGCCCGTAGGTGTTGCGGGAGGTACAATTTTTGGCTTACTTATCTTCCATTCAGCTATAAATGGAATATTTAGAGAAACTTAAACTTAGTTTTCGTTCTCGGGTGTTGTATTTGCATTTATTGGAATTTACGCAAATGCGTCTCTTGAAGTACACATAGTTGACCCAAAAACATACTTGAAGACATTTTAGCAATAATACTACGACGAATACTTAAACTGAGTAGTACAGTATATATTTGCTGACGAGTCCATTATCAGCTAAAAATGCAAATAAGGCTCTTATATTGCTTACACATGTGCTTTTAACGTGCTTCTTGTTGTCATTTGTGTATTCAATTTCAGTTTTCTACAGACAAAGGACAAATCAAAATTAAACTATATCTAAACAGAAAGCTAGGACTGCAATAAACCCAAGTTTCTTAAAAAAAAAAATTTTTTTTTTACTTTCTGATGAATCCTATTAATTATTAGATTCTGGTTCTGTAGCCTTTGGCATTTGTCTGAACTGGAAGTTAAAGCGCTTAGAACTGTACTGGTGAACTGTAAATTGTTGTCACACCTGAAAAATCATATTCAATTCCGGGTATTTATTTTAAAGCAAGATTCGAAACCATTGTCTGAAAGTCTACCACTGTCTGGGTAGTGGATGGAGATCCGATGTGCTTCAAAACATGAACCAGGTTTGCATTGTAAAGGGATCATTGAGGGTTTCTTTAAATAAATCTAGCAAAAATATATATTCCTTCAAACCACTTACCATCGGAACCACTTTCTATCAAATTCGTCTGAAATGAGATTATTGCTCTTTCAACCAAAAATCGACTAACTAAATGTTACATTCCAATTTTCTTTTCAGAGTCTTTATTATTAAGTAGTCATTAGTCGTTATGGCAAATTGACATATAAAATGCATTAGCATTTCTTTGATAGCCTTAGACTAACGCTTCAGTTGATCATTTGCGCTGAACCTGTCAATTTGTGCAACATTGATTCTATACTCATACACCTGAAGATGTCGCCTTACAGCGCACGTGCAACTGAAGGGCAGTTCTGCTAATTAATTTCGATAATTACGAGTATTTTCAAGAAAAGGCCAGCCCTGCAGCTTCGGCTTCTTAATAATGAGATATTATTCACTGCTTTCGAGTACTTTGAATTTAATTAACAGTGCGCTGTGGCATGCAGCGGCCGATTTGTGGCACATGCCAAGCTTACAGCAATCAAACACACACGTATACTAGCACTTGTGCATATATAAATATGTATATGTGTGTTGACATATAAACAACAAAATATGAAGGGATTTTGCAAGCAGCGAAGTAACAACAATGTTGCAAGCGTTGATGGCGATAATAAGCTGCATGCCAGGCCAACTAAAACTTATCGTTGTTTAAGTGTGTGCATGTGTGTGTACGAAATCACTTCTATATTGCTCAGATCTTCATGGCGAAGTGTGCATGCTTATGTATTACATATATTAGGTATGTTGCAGCAGCACTTGCTACTTGGCAAGCAGTCAAGAACGCACACATACACATATATATATATGTAGGTGTGTATGTTAGCCCTCATATACATATGCACTAAGCTACTTAAGTGCAAAAGCATTCATTACTATAATTGCCGGTAAAACAGCTCACTTCCCTGTTTAATCGCTGTGGCTGCGGCGCGCGCCTGTTGATAGGCTACCAACGCCATCACCCCCGCCACCTTCTCCCGCCAATTACTGCTATTGTTTTAAATGGGTAAATGGTGGCGCACACGCGGAAGTGTTCGCGTTGGAAACTCAATCAAAGAGCCCGGCTGGAAGAGCGATCAACGCTACCGATCTTGATCGCTTGAAAGTAAAGCACCAAGCGAGCGTGCGCGAACGCGAGCGCGCATTTCATTGACCGTTTCGCCGCGTTGAGCACGCGCAATCAGACAGCGGGCTGGTGGAGCGCCTTCGCTGTTGTTTCTCCGACCGTCTTTGGTTGTTGCCATGCTATCAAACCGGTGTGCAGTTGCAGCGCGAGCAGCAGCGATCATTAGTAACACGCTGATGGGTATCTGAGCGTGCTAATAATTTAACAGTAGATGAGTTCTACTGCTGCGGCATTGTTTTGGTTTCTGGTCTTTAGCTGGTTTAAACATTTTCTAACCCAAGCGATCCTAATTTAAAATTCTAAACTTTATGGGTGCGCGAAGCCAAAGGAATTTCTAATTACTCGTATGGCACATATACTTGTACATATTTGTACGTCGGTACATATGTACATTCACCTGTTTTAATGTATGGCTGCGCACGTTTAAACTGTAAACTGAGATAGCAAACAAATTCAAAACTTAATGACGCTTAATAACCGTTATCAACGCATAATTTCGAATTTACGCATTACTTTAATCTACTCACGTGTCTGAAGAACACAAATCAGTGATACCTTAACAGTAAGTCTCTTTCTGCGAGCAAGTAAAATTATCAGACCAAAGAATGTATTAGAAAATCCACACTGATCTCTTGTAATTAGAAGTCAGAAAAATGCCTTGTGACCAATAAAAATTTGCTCAGTCGTTTAATTTCTATTCCCACCAGTTCGGTGTTTAAGTTTAATCTCGCAAACGCGGGACAATCGAGAAGGAAGTGCTGCGATGTTTCCACCTCGTCTCTTTCCATACAGCTTTTGCAGCTGGCGTCTGGTAAGATTATTAATTGGCCTGTTAGAACAAAGAGCTCACTAGATCTCTTACAATCAATCTTGAGCAAAAGGATCTTGTGGCAGCTCATGAAACTATGGCAGTCCAGCGCTGGCCAAGCTCAAGGAAGCACAGTCATCAGATTTATAGTTACTTGCGATTCCGCTGTGGCCTGGCACTCACACTAGTCTTATCACAAAGTGACTCGATTCCATTAATAACGAGGTAAGACATTCCTGGATCAGCCCTGTAGGCATGGTTAGTGAGCTTTAGCCGGAGAAGTAAATCTATTGCCACCTTAATGACAGCATCGCCGGCTTTAAAAACACTACAATAGTCAAGAAGTCTGCAACTGAAGTTGATAGAGAGTTCCTGACAATATACCTACCTCTCCCCAAGGTTGACCCGTAAAGAAGGTTACTGCCCCTCGTCACCGACGGCTTCCATACACCCACAACTCCCTCGCAGGTATGAGGGCAGAGAAAAAGCCTCCAGAGTTTGGTTTGGCGACTTCATGATCCAACAGATCCGGTATAAAGCCAAAGCGTGTGAGAATTTCCGAATATTCAGATATCTGTTCATTTAGAAATTCAAATTCTCTTAGTCTGATAGCAACTTTCGCGGCCATACTCCTTTATATTTATGTGCACTATATACAAAATGGCATTAAGTGCCATGGTTGGAGTGGACCTCAAGGTGAAATGTTTATAGACATTTAAATTAATTTTGGACGATTACAAGAGAGGATGTGGTCTGCAAATAGAGAATTCGGTTCGCATATTGTCTGACCTTCTTCCTTCTACAGATTACTGAAGTTCCACCGTTTCGGATCACTCTAGTAACCATTGAATAGATGAGCTTGAGCTGCAAAATTTACACATTTCCTTATACTCATTGATATTTTATTGATTTAAGACAAATTTTTTGACTAGCATTAAAAGACGAAGTTAAATTTGAAAATTCCACAAGTTGAATAATTTTTTCCAATTAAATTTTTTGCAAAGCACCCAATGCGATAAATTTCAAAAAAAAAAATGATATGCAACCGTTCGACGGAGATATTTCACTTATTCGAATTGGATCTACCGCAATTTATTTACGGCCATATAAATATACAAATACAAAAACAGTAATGCGGATGCAATAACCAAATGACAATTCAATGTGCAAAAATTTCAAATATTTATTGGGCGAATGCCTTCGTACAAATCCTGCAAATAATATATGTACTTCTATGTACGTGTGCGTATGTTTGTGTGTGTGAATGTTTTTATGGAACGGATTGTTTTCAATGAAGTCACATAGTCAGACAATGGCACCGGGGGCGGTCAACAATGTGTGTGTTGCTTGCATAAAATTGCACATTTTCTGCCACACACATACACACACTCACACGCGCACATCGCATTGTTTGGTCACGCGTTGCTTTGTTTACAAAAGCAAAAAACATAGAAATCGAGAATGAAAACAAAAAATACAAAACGTGCTAAAACGAAATTATTACGCACGATTGTGACGTCACGCTGCGTAACGGTCCTAAATCGAATGAGCCAACAAATAATCGCAACACAATGGCGCTGCGTAAAGGATCAAACGACTTTAGCGAATTGCAAATCGGCTTAGAGCCGATAAATTGGCGGCATTAGAACTGACATGTGTGTGCGTGCGTGTGTATGTGTGTGCGTAAATGGATGTGTACAAAACGTTGAAACCTACATTTTATGGTTTGTTACACTTTACAGCTTTTGTTGTTGTTTTTTTTGTAGAATAATTGCGTAAACCGCGTTTGGGTTTGTTCTATTGCAAGATATGAGCAAATTTCTGCATTAAAAATACGTCTTTCGCTCCATAGATATGCTTAAAAGTAGCCTGAGGCTTAGCTCGGAGATTGACAAATTGTCATGTCTTTAAAGAATATTTATGCCATCTTGATTGTCAACTTAATAAAATTGCAAAATATTAATGCGAGTTTAGAGCATAAGTTGCAAAGGTTCGTTAATGGAATCTTTATATTCTTTAAATCGTCAGCGATGTGTTTTTTAAAGCTTCGCAAACTAATTGGTTCTATGAAAATATAGGATTAGAAGCTTGCTTATGCAGAAGTTTTCGTATCACTTCATATTAGAGATTACCGAATTCAAATTGTTTGAAATGGATATCATGATAGATTGAGTTCGTGTATTTTACGAATTTAATATGGTTCTTGATAAATAAATCGATTTAAACGAGGTGTAAAGGAACCCTTCCTAAAGCATCACTTTTTCTTTTCCGATCGATAATATTGGAAATATACTTATCCATTTTTGAACTTCGTACATTTTTTTTTGCCGTTTGACAAGTGCCTCAGCTTAGGGGTAAATAAAGCTGAACGCAATGCTGACGTTAACATGAAATGTCATTAACTTCTTTCTATGTGCTCTAATTTAGTTTTAACGACCTTTAAAGTGGGAGAAAATTTAATTCGTTGTCACTTGGCAGTTGCACTTCAGTACACAATGACTGCATTAACCTGCAGCCGCTCCCTCCGCGCTTCCTTCAACTCAACATGAGTGCTTAATTGCGTTTGTTTCAGCCATTTTATTTTTTACTTTTTCAATGTTTTTTATTAAAATTCAACGTCAGCACATTGTTCTCCATTGGGATTTCTTATTTCTTTCGTTATTTTGGTTTGCATCTGGGTTTGGGTAAATGGCTGCAATGCTGGCAATGTGGCAATGGAAATCTAAATAGAAAGGTGAGAAATGCCATGAGAAGCGGAAAATGCAGGAAACACGTTGACAAACGCTGCTTAATTGTGCAATTCATTTTTGACTTGTCGGAAATTGCAACATTTCGTTTTGCATTTTTTGTCCTCTCTGCAGTTTGCTACACATTTCCTTATTTTTCCAGCTTTGTTTTAATTTTCACACTCACACACACATACAGATACACAGTGTTTACCACTTTCTTTATTTAACAACTTTTTTTATTGTCTTCAGTTGCATCTTCGCATTGCCAAGCGGGGCAAACTAGCGCTGATGACTTTTACAACCACGCCAACTGCAAAATCAACAACAACAATAAATGGCGACGAACCAGCTTCTAAATAAGGTTTTATACACCGTGCATAAATTAGTAGAAAAGGAATGGACAAAACGTATACAGATTTGTGTTGACCTGGCCGGTGAGCCAAAGCCAAAGCTCGAAATTTTCTTGTTATATAAGGAATCTCAGTGCTCAATGCAGTTTCCGTTAGTGGCACAAAGTCTGCTGAAGAAAAATGTTGAGTGAATATTTTGGTCCTTTTCCAAATAAAAACAAGAAAAGAACTATAGGTGGGTGCATTAGGACCTCCCATCCGAGCTCCCGGAGCTTCTGGCGCGTCACCAAACACGTGTGTGGCCTGGCATTGTTTTGATGGAACACAATTCGACCGCTGTTGATTATAGATGGCGTCTTCTGGATGAGTGCTGCCTTCAAGCGGTCTAGTTGTTGACAGTAGAGGGCTCAATTGAGCGTTTGGCCATAGGGGAGCAGCTAGTAGTAAATGATTTCTTGCGAATCCCACCAAACACGCAGCAAAACCTTCCTGGCCGTCAATCCGGTCTTGGCCCCCGTCTGGGCCACTTCCCCGAGCTTTGACCACGACTGTTTGCGGTCGATATTGTCGTAAGTGACCCATTTTTCATCGCCAGTCACAATTCGCTTCAGAAACGCCCCCAAACATCGAGCTTCTTTTTGAATCTAAGGTTATGCAAATGGTTCCAAACCGTTTTATGGCTTATCTTTATTTCCTCAGCAATTAAATAAGTGCTCACGTGACGGTCTGTTTCCACTATTTCCATGATTTTATCGCAATTTTCGACGACAGGCCTCCCGACGCGTGGTGCATCTTTGACATCGAAATTACCGGAACGGAACCTAGCAAATCACTTTTGTGCTACACGTTCGTTTACAGTATCGGGCCCATAAACTAAATTAATGTTTTCAGCCGAATTTTCTCTTTTAGTTCTTTTTCCTTTTTAGACCTCTGGACTCGTGCTTCATTAGCGCTCAGTGTCACTAGCTGTCATGCTATACATTTATTTGTGTTACTCTTTGCTTTTCTTTATTTTAACCAAATTTTTTTTAAATCACCGAATGAGAGATACCTTGTAACTAGGTTCTGGAACGAAAGGTCATCCCATGAAAACCCAGGAAACCACCCAAGGAGCTACAAATACTTTGGACGAGAGAAACTACTGTAAACATCTAGCAATATGTATTATATAATATGAACATATATACACACACTTGATGCAAATATATGCCACCGTAATCCTTGGTACCAGCCCATATTAGCGCTGCTTAATACAAAGCTGCTTAAAGGAGCAGGCCACTTTGTTAAATACTTAACAAATTTTCGCACAATTATTTCATCCTTAATCCTATTACCGAGCGCAGGGTCTTAATGCGTAATTAAGTTGGAATAATTGCATATTCCCACCTAAGAGTCTTACGAACCCATGGCAATGTCATTAATTATAAAAAACGGAGGACGACGTCAGTCGACCTCTGCCGCAGGTGTTGAAGTGCGTTTAATGCCAAGTGGGTGTGTGTTTGTGTGTGTGTGTGATAATGCAATGTAAATAAATTTGAAGAGAAACTAACGAAAATCAAATAAGTTAGCTGTAAACTAATTACAAAGCAGACCACCGCCGATGCATGCGGATGAACAAGCGGAAGGCGGGGAACGGCAGTGCATACGCAACTGCAGACAATTTGCAGTTGACGATGTGTGACCGCGCCGCAAATGCTTTGGCCAACAATGTGCGGCCGGTCGATACGTAGGCAAAACACACACACACGTGCCACACAGCAAGCAACAAAAGCCCCTACGCGGAAGGCCCACCTGTGCAAGCCAGCGCGTCCCAACCGCACTCATTTAAATTACAGCGTCAGCTCATCAACTACAACAGATTTGGCTTTGCGTTTGCTCAAATACAGCTGCGTTGTTGTTGCTCGCAGGCGCAGTAATAATGATGTTTGGCTTGACGGTGGCAACAATATTGATAGCAGCGCCACTGATGGTAGCTGTAGTGGCAACGATTACAATGAAACGCAAGTCGGTGTGAGTTCCGCCTGGCAGTTTTGGGAAATTTCACAAAACTTAAGCGTCGCTTAGCTTGTGCTCCTTTTCACTTGTCTGTCGCGGCGCATCGCAGTGGTTGAGCGAATTGGCTGTGTGATTCGTGGATTTTTAGTTGAAGGTACCGTTGGCGGAAGTGGCGGAAGGGGACACAGCGCAGCTGGGCATGCAATAAGCACCTGCCGCGGACTTGCTTAACGTGGCAGTGGCAGCAATTTAAAAATACTCGCTACGAATGCGACAACGTTCTTACATACATATTACTTGTATATATTGTTAGTTATATGTGCGTTTATGTAATGATTCAGCGCTGTAAAGTAGAAAATGTGTAATTTCTTGTTGTCAAAATTAACAGAAACGTTAACTGAGTTTGGGGACAAACCCGAACTTAAATATGATTTGGCATGTCTACCCGGTAGAAAACTGAAAGGGTTCTTTAAATTTAAATTTATGCTGGACTAAGCTAAGACTATTACCCTGACTCCCGAAAAAGTATGATTTGATCACACTGAGATCTAAGCTATTTGTACCAACTTTTGTCGAATAATCAAAATAAATCTAAAGCATTCCACGCAAGAAGTATTTTCTTAAAGCAAAAAACTTTTATTAATCATATTTTTCCAGCAGGGTGTTACTTCATCCCCGTATTAGTGCTTTGGGTACGTGTAAATACAACGGCGCTTGAGTGGAAACTAATTTACAACACATTTTGAATGTAACGCTTTGATAATTACACTCACTGACTTGGATTCCTTTTCTTCTTCTTCTTCAAAAATACAGTAAATAACTGTTCATTGTTTTATGTGGAAGCCTTTTGGTCTTCTGAAGTACACTTGAATTATTGAGAATCATTGTACATTCATACAAAACGTAAAAATTACTGCGTTTTTACACCTTGGTTAGTTGAATGGCTTTGCAGAGTCATTAGATTGCGTGGGAGCTGGGAGTTTCAAGTTGTCTTAAGTTAACAGTTTGTTAAGTCTTAACTAAATTAGTACTACGTAACTCGACTTATCGTTATACATTTAATGGTTATAAATATATAGAAAGTTGTTGGAAGAGCAATAGGTGCTCGGCGTGAGATTTAATTACCAATATTATAACCGAGATCGATATCAATTCCAAAAAAACGAATCATAACAAAATTATTACCAACTACTATTAACAATATAATCTTTCCATAACAGTTTTGAAGATGAACTATCCAAACAGTAATATCTACACGTATACAATAATACCAATATTTGCGATTACATATGTAACTACGGTTCAATCAACACCAATACTACCTACTTACTACAAATGATACTAGCATGTGAAACAACTACTGTGTTAGGCCTTCTAAGAAATATGATTGGCGTCATTAACACTATTTTGGAATTTTATAAACTCATTAGTACACGAGTATCAACAGAAATACCGATTCAAATATCAATACCCAAATCAATCCAATTCCTAATACCAATACTAATGGCAATAATAATACCAATACCGATACCTATACCAAATACGAATAGCAATACCGAATACCATAGCACTGATAGATAGATACACCCCCCCAAACTCCACTACCATTACTTCATATACCAACACATTTGTATGTTTTTTTTTATTTTTACTGATGTATGTGTGTGTGAGTGTGGAAGACCATTAATTTCTTTACTTTTGAGGCACAATCTTTACTGGCTTGCTTTTGGTAATGGCTTGCCAATTATTAAACTGACAAATGAGCTTCTGAGAATTTCAAATTCTAAGCTTGTTCTGCAAATAATTTCGGAATTTAATTAGATGCTTAAGTCATTGGCTGTGAGAAAATATATGTATAACCAAAATCATGTTTATAATCCGCACTCACTACTTAGCCAGTCGGTTGATGGACTTCCTCATTTCTGGCTTACCAATTTCATAATTTTTTTTGTAATTTTCACTTAAATGTTGGAGAAAATCACGCTTGGTTGGGTTTTAATTTCACAAAGCACATTACGAAGTACTCGGCCATAATTTTTAGGCATTTACATGACAAGTTATACGAGTAATATAACAAAAATTGAAACTATCTCTATCTTAACTGGCCAGCTTGTGTGGCAGTGACCACGCTAACCGCGATCACCACAAAAAAAATAAAAAACAAAAAAAAAAATGAAGAAAAACACAAATAAAATAATAGTTGTAGCAAACGCTAACCACTTGCCTACTTGGCGTGCAGGGGCGCATGGAAGGAGAAGTCGTCGCAGAAACAGACTAATTTAAAATAAACAATAACGGCTGGAAGCCCAAGTCGTAGCAATTTTCCGCTCATGAAGCACTGAAGCACTCACAATAATTTGAATTTAAAATTTTCACTTTGTGCCTTAATTGGGCGACTACAACCAACCGAACACTCGCATACAAATGTAAATACAAGTATATTTCGTGCCGCGGAATACGCCAAGTCTCAGATGGCACGCCAACTGCAGCACACACAAGTGTGACACAGCACCAATACCGGTGGCAGAATTTTTAATTATTTTAATTTTTATATAATTTTATTTTTGTTTCAGCTTTCTTCCAGTTATGTGGTAGCTACAGTTGAACTCTAAAGTTAAGCCAAGTTTACATTGACAAATTAATTGTCTTAAGTTTAGTGGCAATTAAAAATGTTGCAGAGCTTGGGCCAACTCAGCATGCAAATAAGTGCATAAATTTTGACCATTCCTTAAATATATAATACTTAGTGAATTACAAGCAGTACTAACGCGTGCGAGCGATAGTCGGTTCAATGAAATGAGTGAACCTGTGGATTTATTGCGGTAAGGACTGACCAAAAAGCAACAGCCACTGTAGCTCCTTAACTGATCGGATCGTTTTTGACAATTTTTTGAAAGAGGTATTATATTGAATAATGAAATAAAAAATAGGAATTTACAGAATTTAATTTACTATAATAATAGATAATTCAGTTTCAATTTTGGATTTCGTTGATTCCGTACCCGATCTCCAGAAGGACTTCCGACAAAATATTTCGAAGATTTATTTTATTATTAGTAATTAGCACAATAGAAGTGTGCGTTTCAAGTGGGACTCGTTAGGCCTATCCACGTGATTTACTACCCACTGATTTCTTGTTTACTCCATACTCTATAAATAAAGCCTCAACTAACTCGCAGGGTATTTTCAAAAGGAAACTTTGTGACTTGAAATCTGGCATAATATTGCTTATTAA